CCTGCTGCCCGCCCCGCCCGGCACCCGCCCCGCCGCCGCCCGCGCCCGCGCCGTCCGCGCCCGACAACAACAACCCCGAGAGCCCCAACTGGCAGTCCTTCCACCCGACGCTGCGCGAGAGGTGAGTCCCGGCCCCGCTCCCGGCCCCGCTCCCGGCGCGCGCCGTGCTCCAGCCGTGTGCCTCTGCCCTTTGCAGGAACGCGCTGATGTTCAACAACGAGCTGATGGCCGACGTCCACTTCGTCGTGGGGGCCCAGGGGGCGGCCCGGCGCGTGCCAGCCCACAAGGTGGGTAGGGCGCAGCCGGGTCCTCTGGCGGGCCCGGCCAGACCCGGCTCTCCAGCCTCTGCGCCCGCGGCTCAGGTGATGCTTTTTTATCCACAGTACGTCCTGGCTGTCGGCAGCTCGGTCTTCTATGCCATGTTCTACGGGGACCTTGCAGAAGTCAAGTCAGAAATCCACATCCCGGACGTGGAGCCTGCCGCCTTCCTGGTCCTTTTAAAGTAAGTGCTATACTCTGGGCTGGAAGGATGGGGTGGTTCCCTTCCGATGGTCCCTCGCAGCCTCGGCTTCTACCCGAGGCTGTACCCATGAGCGCCTCCCAAGGCCAGCCCTTCAGCTCCCCAGGAGGCCCCTGCCTTGCCCAGGTACATGTACAGCGACGAGATCGACCTGGAGGCGGACACGGTGCTCGCCACCCTGTATGCTGCTAAGAAGTACATTGTGCCTGCGCTGGCGAAGGCCTGCGTCACCTTTCTGGAGACGAGTCTGGAAGCCAAAAACGCCTGCGTCTTGCTGTCCCAGAGCCGGCTGTTTGAGGAGCCTGAGCTGACCCAGCGCTGCTGGGAGGTCATCGATGCACAGGCCGAGATGGCCCTGCGGTCTGAAGGTTTCTGTGAAATCGACCGGCAGACGCTGGAGATCATTGTGACCAGAGAGGCCCTCAACACCAAGGAGGCAGTGGTCTTCGAGGCCGTCCTGAACTGGGCTGGGGCAGAGTGCAAGAGACAGGGCCTCCCAGTCACCCCGCACAACAAGAGGCATGTTCTGGGAAGAGCCCTCTATCTGGTCCGAATTCCAACCATGACCCTGGAAGAGTTTGCCAATGGTGCTGCCCAGTCAGACATCCTGACCTTGGAGGAGACCCACAACATCTTCCTGTGGTATACTGCTGCCAAAAAGCCCCTCCTCGACTTCCCCCTGACCAAGAGGAAGGGTCTTGCACCGCAGAGGTGCCACCGCTTCCAGTCTTCGGCTTACCGAAGCAATCAGTGGCGGTACCGTGGGCGCTGTGACAGCATCCAGTTTGCAGTGGACAGAAGGGTGTTTATTGCCGGGCTGGGATTGTACGGGTCCAGCTCTGGGAAGGCTGAGTACACTGTGAAGATTGAACTCAAGCGGCTAGGGATGGTCCTGGCGCAGAACCTGACCAAGTTTGTGTCTGATGGCTCCAGCAACACTTTCCCAGTCTGGTTTGAGCACCCAGTCCAGGTGGAACAGGACACCTTCTACACTGCCAGTGCGGTCCTGGATGGCAGTGAGCTCAGCTACTTTGGGCAGGAGGGAATGACAGAAGTGCAGTGTGGAAAGGTGGCCTTCCAGTTCCAGTGCTCTTCAGACAGCACCAATGGAACTGGGGTCCAGGGTGGACAGATTCCAGAGCTCATCTTCTATGCCTGAGGGGTAGGGGTAGGGGTGGGCTTGCCACCAGGCCCATCCTGCACAGAGGCCGCCCAGTAAGTGCAGAGGAGGTGCAGGACACAGCCGACTGCCTTACTGATGCTATTAAAGGCTTAGCTGTGCCAGCCCAAGTCTGAAACAGGTGACTTCTCTTCATAGCCAGAGCCTAGGAGCTGAGGGGCAGGTATCGGTACCCCTGAGCAAGGTACCCAGGGTAGTCCCAGGTCCCTGCCCATTGGCACTCAATCTTTGGGCCCTTCAATTTTCCTCCCAATCTTCTGGATTCTAAGTCTCTCCAAGCTTACCTTGAGGCCTTCCCTTCAAACCCCAGTTGCTGAAAAGTCACTTAAAGTAGTTCCACCCTATTTAAGTGGATTTTCGTAATAAAGGTTTCACAGAACAAAAAAGCTATATGTAAATAAGTGACTACAGGAATTAACTGGGGCAAAAAGCCCCTCAAGGTCCTACTGCAGGGGTCAGATCTGAGGAGTGGGCTGTCAGTAAAACAGGATCCCTAGGCCCAGGCCTCTATCCTCCCTTGTAGTTAGTTGTTCTGTCCTAGAAAACCACCTGACCTCCAAAAGGAAGAACAGTCTGCTGGCAGTGGCCTCTGGAGAGAGAACGTCAGCCCTGGCCCAATATGCCCAGCCCAAGAGGCCCTGTTGGGTCTATACTCAACTCCGGCCCCAGGTGGTACCTCTGCCATGAGCTGAAACAGAGACATGGTCAAGAGACCATGAGCAGGCACAAAAGCTCTCTCCTTAGACATGGGAAGGGCCGTGGCTAGACAGCACCTTCTGGAGCTCCCCTCAGTTCTTTGTGAGGAGCCCCCTGCCTTCCCCAAGGGACCTGCTCAGACAGGCTCCCAGCACAAAGCACTACATCCTTTTTTCTCTGTGTCCAGGGCCATGTTTGATGGGTACTGGTTTTGCACCACAAATAAAGCCCCACTGGCTGTACTTCTCACAAATTTGAGATGTTTCTTGCCTTTGGGTCTTATTCTTTGACCTGATGTCCCTCTGACTATTTGGAATACTTTGGCATGGTAGTGTCCAGAGGCCTAGAGGTGCCCCTGCCTGAGTCCAGCCTACCTATGGCTGGTGCGTTGATGCAGAGCTCCCTCGCCAAGAGCAGGAACGTCTTCCCCAGCACGTACACGTTCACCTGTAGCAAAGAACACGGCCAGAAATGCATTGTATTCACATAAATGTTTGCTGTTTTCTTTCTTAAAGTGCCTGTTACACTGTTCAGTCTTCAAAGCCTACCAGAGCCCCCAGCTTGCCCGTGGAGCATCTACCCCATGCTTCTCCATTGGCCTCCATGTCAGGAGAGCCCACCTTCTTCCCACCTGACTGCATAGACTCCCCTCATCAGGGATTGCTTAGAATAGCTACCTGAAGGTACCTGCTGGGATGTGATCACACACTACGTGACTATGCTAAATTGTGTATCAACACAAGACTGGTGAGTGGCTACTCCACCACCTCAAGGACACGGGAGTCTCAGTCTCTGCCTCCCTGCTGGGATCTCAGGCAGATCTTCACTATATCTACCTCAAGTCCCTACATGCCATGGAACCTGCTGCTCAGACAAGGTCACTTGCCATGGCTCTTCCTGCCACTGGAGGGTAGGCAGTAGGGATATCTAGCCTGGAAGGGCAGTCTCAAGGGCTAAATGGTAGGAGGACTACCAGTTGTCAGGAAAGCAAGGGCCTGGTCAGTGTGCAGAACCCCTAGCATGCAGGTCAGCACCTCAGTGCAGCCCTGTAATGGATCAGGCTCCCCTAGGGACAGCACTAACCAGAGATGCGGGCAGGATGTTTCTGAGTGGGGTCATGCAGGTGCAGAACAAGCTGCCCAGACAAGGCACTGTGGATACCACACAGGGCTGGGGATACCCAGGTTCCTGTCCCACGCCTAAGGCTGTGGAAGTCCTCAAGCTCCTGTGAACCCCCCTGTTCTCACCCCAGGCTTGGCCCTGGGACTAATAGGTGTGACTAGTCTGGCCTTCTGCCCCTGGCCTCCTGAAAGAACTCCCTCACCTGATCTAGCTGAGCCTGTAGGCCCTTGGACAAGACCCTGTTTCCTTGCACAAAGGTGGCACCTTAGGTGCTTGCAAACTTCAAGGGACAGGGAGTCTAAGGAATGATACATAATGGGGGTCTTCATTAGAGACAGAACTGGGGGAAATTGAGTTCTGCCAATTCCACTCTTTCACTTGTATCCTCAGCAGCCAGCCTACCAGAGACAACTCCCCAGTGAGGTCCTCACTGACATGGGCATGTGCCCCACCCAGACTATCTGTCCAAGGTAGCCAGGCCATCTCTAACTCCAAGGAGATCTTGGAGGGACAAAAACATGCTGTGGATATTCCAGGAAGGAGCCAGCCTGGTCCTCAGCTATGGAACCTCTCACACCCATGTGCCAGCACAGCCTACCATCTGAGGTACTGATGGTCAGAGCAGAGTGTCTGGCCACCCTGACCTCAAGCTCTCCTTGGCCAGTCCTCAGCCTTTCCTGATACATGCCACCCTCGACCTGACTGGCTGGCTATTTCCCCATTTCCACAGCTGTGAAGCCACAGCTGACTAGTGTACCTCCTCTGCCTCCAAGAGGTGCCCAGACCGCTGCTAGAACTGGCCCAAGCCCTGGCACATCATCCCTGGGATGAAACGAGTCATGTGGCCTGCACTGAGCACAATGTGTTCAAAGGTAGAATCACTGGATTATCACAATTCCAACAGGTTATTTTTAGCTTAACCAAAAAACATTTCAGCAATAATTGCTGAGATGTCATTTATAAAGACAGCTGGGAGGAGAAAAATACAGGGCATCATCTGACACAAACGCAGTCTGACCACTGGTGTCTTGGAGGGCACTGAGGCCTGAGCAACCAGGAGCAGTAGCATGGCCTATGGGTTCTCAGGACCCCTGGGGGAACACCCAGGTAATAGATTTTCCTTCAGGGTAAAACCCGTGGCTCTGTCACTGCAGTTTTACTTGCAAGCATTCTGCCTCCTAGTCCTTGGTGGGTCACCGTGGACAGCTCAGGGCCCTGCCACAACCCAGGGTGTGGTCTGACTGTAATCAGTCTCCAGGCAGTCCCCTAGCACATCATCATCAGTGGGGTGATGTCTTGATGTCCCCCTCCCTTGCTTCCATTTAAAGTCCCCACGTGGGTCCTCCCATAAAGTTCAGTCCCTTAGAAATGAGCAAGGCACTAGGCATGGTGGCACATGCCTTTAATTCTAGCACTAGGGAGGCAGAAGCAGGTGGATCTCTGAGTTTGAGGCCAGCTTGGTCTACACAGTGAGTTCCAGGCCATAGTTAGACCTCCTCTCTCAAAAAAACCCAAAAATGAGCAATGCAAATGGGGGGTGGTGGTGCATGCCTTTAATCCCAGCACTCGGGAGGCAGAGGCAAGTGGATCTTTGTGAGTTTGAGGCCAGCCTGGTCTACATAATGAGTTCCAGGACAGCTAGGGCTACAGAGAGACCCCGTCTCAAAAAGACAAAAAAAAAAAAAAAAAAAAATAAATTTATTTATTGACAGAAGCAACAGAAAACATTTTCTCTGAATCCAGAAAGCAAATAACCCTGAACAGACTAAGCATGATGCTTGTTCATAGTCTGAACGGTATGCATGGGGTCCAGCAGTCTTTTTGTTTGGGTCTTTTTGAGACATGTAGCCCCAGCTGACCTGGAACTTACTATGAAGACCAGGCTAGCCTCGAACTCACATACAGAGATCCACCTGCCTCTGCCTCCCAAGTGCTGAGATTAAAGGTGTGCACCACCACACCTGGCCCAACAGTCCTTTTTAAACAACCTCCATGCCTAGGTCTGCATGTCATAAGAGTATCTCAAGTGGTTCTAATGCTGAGCCACTGTTCCTGGACAAGACTGGCTGTGAGCTGCCCTCTCTACCTAAGGTCCCTACCTCTGGCCTTACAGTTTGGAGATGGAGGCTGTTCATTTGCAGCAGGTTGCATAGACTGGCCTCCAGGTGTGTGGAAGCATAGGCTGTACCCCCTGCTATGTCCTGGGGTGGGGAAAGACTTAAGGAAGGTGACCTACCTGGAGCAGGTCGCTGAGGTCAAGGAGCATGTCTGCAGCCAGAGTTAAGGAGTATTTGCATGGAAGCTACCAGGGCTATACATCCAAGGAGCCAGACCTCATCTGCCACAGCCAAGCTCAGCATCTGACCAGAAGACAAAGGCCCTAATGTAATCTAACCATGTCCTTTGTCTCCCCCTAGGCATGGAAGGAGACTTGTGAGAATACATTTGGAGGACATAAGCCTGCAAAATGAGAGTGAGGAGCAGGGCCAGGAAAACCAGGAATGGGGGTTTCAGGTGTCCCCTGTAGTGTCTTCTTCCACGACACAGCATGGAAATGTGCCCCCACACGTTAGCTGTTGACATACTGAGCACTGCCAGGCCAGTGACCTGAGTCAGTAGGTGACTCCCTGGGAGACAGGCATAGCAAGGCAATGCATGCCTAGCACAGGATAGCTCAGTAGGCTCTGGTTTGGAACCCCTCCTTGCCTAAGCATCCCAGTAAACACTGTGAACAAGTCCCAGGTGAATCCAAACTCAGACAAAACAGACAAAATACAAAACAAGCCACTTGCCAGTGAAGTTAAGCTATTGGCTAGAGGCACAGCTTAGTGATAACCTCTGCTTAGTATGTGCAAGGCACTGCACCCACCTTCAGGGCCACATTTAAAACATTACACAGACTGGAAAGATAGCTTAGTGGTTAAGAGCACTTGCTGCACAATCATAAGGACCAGAGTTCGGATCCCAGCACCCACATAACAGGCTGGGCATCCCACACGTCTGTAACCCTAGCTTCAAAGGGGGCAGAGACAGGAGGATTGCTGGCTTGAACACAGCTAAGAAAAAAGCCCCAGGCTGGAGGAGAGACCCTGCCTTAAAGAAGCAGGTGAAGAGTGATGAACACTAAGACAGGATATGGTGAGTAAAAGGCCAGTCTGGGTTAAACAGTGAGTCCTTGCTCAAAAATAAACACTCTACACTACCCTGATCCTGAGGCTGGCAGCTGGGGAGCAGACCCGAGAGAGGGAGAGCATGTGAGACTACTTTCTGTAGTTTTTTCTACTTTCTATACAATTATTCTATAAATCCAAAGCTTCTCTAAAATACCATCTTTTAAAATTAATAAGCCAAGGATGGTGACAGGTACCTATAGTCCCATCACTGAAAGCCTGAACCAAGATCATTTGAACCCAAGAGTTCAAGGCCAGCATGGGAAAGACAGAGCCCATCTCAAAAAGAGATAATAAGGGCAGGTAAGATGGCTCAGCAGGTAAAGGCATTTGCTGTGCCTACCTGAAAACCTGATTTTGACCTCTGGAACCCAAGGTTTGGAAGGAGGGAACTGCCTCCCTAAAGTTGTCCTCTGACTTCCACCTGGACACTGTATCACACATAAGTGTGCATGTATACACACACACACACACACACACAGATAATAAAAATATATGAAAATTAAAAAGCAAATAATCTGGGGGCTGAAGAGATGGCTCAGTGGTCAAGAGCACTGGCTGCTCTTGCAGAGGAACCTGGGTTCGATTCCCAGCACTCACCTGGTAGCTAACAAACATCTGTAACTCCAGTTCCAGAGGATCCAATGTCCTCTTCTGACCTCCATGGGCATTGCACAACATGGGTGCACCTACATACATGCAGGCAACACACTCATACACATAAAATATTTTTAAAAAGGGGCTGGAGAGATGGCTCAGCAGTTAAGAACACTGGTTGTTCTTACAGAAGACCTGGGTTCGAATCCCAGCACCCAGATGGCAGCTAACAACTATCCGTGGCTCCAGTCCCAGAGGATCCAACAACCTCTTCTGA